GGTGGTCGTTGTAGTAGGGTGGTCGTTGTAGTAGGGTGGTCGTTGTAGTAGGGTGGTCGTTGTAGTAGGGTGGTCGTTGTAGTAGGGTGGTCGTTGTAGTAGGGTGGTCGTTGTAGTAGGGTGGTCGTTGTAGTAGGGTGGTCGTTGTAGTAGGGTGGTCGTTGTAGTAGGGTGGTCGTTGTAGTAAGGTGGTCGTTTACTGTAAAATTTCGTATAAACCGGAAAGTAACAACGACAGCTGAGTGTCGTAACTTCCGGTGACCTTTGATCTATGACCTCAGGGCAAGATGATCACAAGCTGGACGATGGTAATTCTTCCCAGCTGTGGAGATTTAGTACAAGTTGACCGCCGTGTTTCACTCAATAGTAGCTTGCACTAAAATCAAGTGTGAGAGAGAGAGAGAGAGAGAGAGAGAGAGAGAGAGAGAGAGAGAGAGAGAGAGAGAGAGAGAGAGAGAGAGAGAGAGAGAGTGTGTGTGTGTGTGTGTGTGTAGATCATAAAAAAAAGGGTCTTTGTTTCGTCCCACAAATTCCAGCTGGCTGTTGACCGCTGCCGCTGGAGAGGAAGCTGACACTCCACCGGGTTAATTAACTTCCCAAGTCCCATTCAAAAGAAGAAGAAAAAAAAAATCCTCCTCCAGGGAACAAAAGACTCTCAGTGAGGCCATGAATCTACCTCACCTGTCAAGACCTACAGGTGAGTCTCCGCGCACCTGTTACCACTCATTACGTCCTCGTCTCATGGAACGATTATCTCCAGCGATACCAACGTCGGTAATCTTAATCTAATATAATGGGACCGAGAGAAAAACAAAAGGAATATATAAGACATTTAGTGGTAGTTTGGTTGAGTTATTTATATACAGCGGTAGGTAACAACAGTTAACTGCCGACGCAACCCGAGATTATCGATCACTGACGGAAATGGAAAATTGGAGACTAAAAATATTAAGACAATGCGTAAAACAAAGAAAATATTTACTATTGTCTTTTGTTTAAACCCTGGCCACTAAATATAAATTTTAATAATATATAAGTCAAACTACTGTGTATCTGTATCACCCCAGATAATATTTTTTCTATCTTTTATAACCCGGAATTTAAAACGTTACGAAAGCCCAGTAAAAATACTGCACCACAACCCAATTGTAACACCACATTGATAACACGAAACGAGACAGCTCTAAATCAGGTTCCTACACAAGCCCCCCCCCCCATCCCCCTTGACCTCTCCTGACTGCATGACCCTGACCTCTGACCTTTTAACCCAGGAGAACACAGCTCGCTTATGTCAAGGTTAGCGTAGGGCGAATCAGAAATCCGGTGTTAGTCCTTCCCTCCTGGTATTGAGCTACGGCGGTGACAGACACACGAACAGTAACACCACACCAGCACCCTTAGGCTACTCCACGCCCTCTGTTACGCTACCTCAACAGACATGTTCCTGGAGACACTCAAGACAAGACATGATCCTGGAGACACTCAAGACATGACATGTTCCTGGAGACACTCAAGACATGACATGTTCCTGGAGACACTCAAGACATGACATGTTCCTGGAGACACTCAAGACAAGACATGATCCTGGAGACACTCAAGACAAGACATGATCCTGGAGGCACTCAAGACAGACATGTTCCTGGAGACAATCAAGACACATGTTCCTGGAGACACTCAAGACATGACATGTTCCTGGAGAGACACTCAAGACATGACATGTTCCTGGAGACACTCAAGACATGACATGTTCCTGGAGACACTCAAGACAAGACATGTTCCTGGAGACACTCAAGACAGACATGTCCCTGGAGACAATCAAGACATGACATGTTCCTGGAGACACTCAAGACAGACATGATCCTGGAGACACTCAAGACAAGACATGTCCCTGGAGACAATCAAGACAGACATATTAAGACAAAGTTGTAAGCTACGACACATTACAGAAGACAGAAGTTACAGAAATCACAAGAAAATTTCCCAGAGCCAGAATTAAACTCTCCCCCAGATCGAAGCCCCAATTTATTAAGAAACCACAACAACAATAAAAGGTAATTCGAATCACCTGAAGAAAGTTAACCACCCTAACACTGATTAAGGGCTGAGGCTAGGTTAGGTAAAGTTAATAATAAGCAATAATAACCATAATAACAAAAAAACAATAATAATTGACAATAAAGATAACAATAAGAATAAAACTAATAATAATAATAACAATAATAAAATAATAATAATAAAAAAAATAATAATAACAATAACAACAGCGCTTTATGTTAGGTTGGAAGCGATAACCAAGAGCCACTGATCTAATTACTTCACATTATTATATAATTACCGGGGTATAATGGCCCAGAAGAAGAAGAAGAAGAAAAAGAAGAAACGGGAGAATAAGAAGAAACGGGAGAATAAGAAGAAATGGGTGAAAAATACGAAGAATGACCAGAGAAGATATTTCCATTCCCTCGTCTTATAGGCACTCGTGACCATGCCTGCTCCTCTCCTCAGCAGAAACAGTGTTGAGTCAAGTGCCAATTTTGCCTCAGAGAGAGAGAGAGGCACGAGTATCTGCCCCCTCCCCCCCCCTTGAAGTGTTGTATTAAAGAACGGTTTGCGATATTTCACTTAATGTATTTGTAAAAGCTTTTTTTTATATTACGCTAGTGTATTACTGAACGCCCACCCGATATAACGTTATAGTGTATTACTGAACGGCCCCCCGATATTATGCTAGCATATTACCGAACGCTCTCCGATATACGCTTAAACATTAAAAGTAAGCTCTCCGATATTCCGCTTTTCTTACATATTAATTTAAAGACCTGAAAAAAAAGTGAATATTGTTCAGCAAAATAATACTAAAAGACTAACTACTGTACATCCATGAACCACCTTGTTATTGGCATTATCTCAAGAATAAGGTAAATACACGTAAGATTTTCCCTAAATATTACAAGTTAGCGACCAATTTCCATAGATACAGTTCTGGGCAACATTTTTTTACACAAGTTCGAAATTTTACTAAGGAACCCAGGCAGACATTACAGCGCCATCTATGAGTAGGTTGAGTATAGTTTTTCGGTGACTCGTTCCAGCATTTCGAGGATTCATTCCGGCAGGTCGGGGTCTCAGGCGAGTAAGGGGAGATTTAATCAGCTCGTGACTACATCTGAAGCTTAAGGATCAACAACCGAACACGGGGGACAGAGAATACTACCACCCCGCCTTGCCTGTCTATCTATCTGGCAGTGACGCGGCCATAACTCGGAATAAACTAGATGTGAACTCATAGAAAAAAGTAAATACGATATAATAAGTAAAATACAAAGTGGAAAAAAAAACACATACGAGAAATAGCAGAAGTTAGAGATGGGAAAATAACGATAACAGGAAGTAGTGAGGAAGGTGATGATAGAGTGACAGAATATACAGACAGACGTAGTAACTATGAGGGGCGGCAGCGGTCATATTTATTGAGCAAAAAAAAATGCTAAGAAAACTATAAATAAATAAATAAATAAATAAATCACCTGACGATTAGATACCCAAGCTTATTTCACCTGATGATTAAACACAGTCACGTTAGATTACGTTAATTATGTTTGGTTACGTTGTGCTAAGTTAGCATTAGGGCGACTAATCTTCAGGTTATCTATAAAAATAATTATACATACACTGAATTATATCAATCAACCTTGTATATATATTATTAGTGTGGGTAGTAATAACTGATGGTGTGTTGAACAATACTGCCGTCAGTGCGGGAGACAGCACAGGATTTACAAGGTAAACTCGGCCATAAGGGGGAGTGCTAAGTGAACAGGTTGGCAAACACGGCCAGCTTCCGGGAACCAGTGTATAACCAGCATACTGAATAAACGACAAGGGAAAACGGTAAATAAACAGACGAGGAACAAAAACGGCAAATAACAGACGAAGAACAATGTGTTTTAACATGAACTTGATGGTAATGAACCAGGAAGTCGTGAAACTATGACTTATGAGTTAACACAGACCGATCTCTCACGGTCTTCCTCTCAGATGTAAAAAATACTGTCGTCCGTCTGTACCGACACTGACCGACGATCACTCCCTGTTGCGAGTTAGCCAGATTTTCTACACAAAGCTTCTTGTATCTTACTAGGAACAGATCCAAGGGTTGTCGGGGACTAAATGTTTACACAATTATCGTTTTATTATGTCAACTGTTCGTCTACACACCGGCGCGTTTGTTCCCATCATCTACAATATTTACGCCACGACGATTTGTCATTATTTTACAAAGTATAATAGTAACTGGTCCTTGTAATGTCTCCTACGTGTATGGTAAACTATATAAATATCTCTAATTAGCGTTCATGTGGACAGAACTTACACATCATGAAGAATTGTGTTAGAAATAGTGACGGTGTCTGACTGTTCCCGTGTGGGCGGTGACCGATACGGCCCGAATCTTTACTTTATCACGGCCATAACTCTACAATACTCCGCTCTATTACTGTTCAAACCCCAACCTTGCTTACATCTATACTAAGTTATATTCACAAAAAGTAGATAATGTCTTGGATAACATTACGTGAACGGAAATGAAATAAGTCATCGGGCGGTGAGAGAGGTCACAACCACACCATGACAGGCCTCAGTATTTTGCGGCCAAATAAATGAGTAATAATAATAGAAGCGACCAGCAGTAAGACCCGAGATGGGTGGAGCTGAAGCCCCACACCACGTCGTCACACGGGCCATTTATGGTTCATAACGCCCCGTCTAAAACTACAGGACTCAATACTCTTATAACATCTAAAGCTAGTGATGAAGACGTTGGTAACTACACATACATCTTAAATACATTGGTAACTACGTACACATCTTAGACATTGATAGGTAACTACGTACACATCTTAGACATTAATAGGTAACTACGTACACATCTTAGACATTGATAGGTAACTACGTACACATCATAAAGACATTGTTAACTACGTAAACTTAGACATTGGTAACTACGCACAAGACATAATATGTATAGACATAACCTTACCTTCTTTATCGAGGTAGATCCGGGTCAGGTAGTTAGCATCCTTACATCTAATAAGCACCATCTTGGAAGTGACTGAGTCCACGCCCGAGTCCCAGTCAGTCTCTGTGTCCATCTCCACCTTTCTCACGATGTCACTGAGCGAGGAGGAGCTGGTCCCCACCGAGCCTTTTCTAGGACTACTTATTAGGTGTCTAGGGCTAAGTGCGCGATTTCTAGGGCTTGATGAACGATTCCCATTCCTAGAACATAGCTCGCGAATTCCGTTTCCCGGGCTGGCGCCGCGATTCCTAATATCGGCAATACTTTCACGACTGCTGTTCTTGGAGAGGGATTCATAGGAGTTTTTCCGGGGACTGCTTCCGCGATCCTTGTTCTGTGGACTCGTACCTCGATCCCCTTCTTCAGGAGGGGCTATGTGGTTGGCATTCATCCCTGGCCAGGATTCCCGTCTGACGTAACGGGTGGGTTTCCTGTCGCACTTGTTGACGTCACTGGAGTCGTCGCTGAGGAACACCTGGTCATTCTCCTCCTCACTTTTGTCACAGTCGATGTTCCAGGAGCTCTTGTCGCTGCTCCAAGACTCTTGGTCCGTTGACCAGTTCTTATTCCGTCTGTTCCATTTTGTAGAGTGAATGTTCAGCTTCCCTTGCTCTGTGGTGTTCCATTTTTCGTTTTCCATTGAGTGACATTTGCCGTTTTCTCCCAGTCGCTTCCACGGCTGCCAATTATTGACTGGCTTGTCTTTGACCTCGATCCTACACAACCCATACTTGAAGGTCTGGTTCTTGTTCCTCAGGTTGACTCTCTTTGGGCTCAGTTGGGAGTATTCCTTCACCACAGACTTAAAGTCCGATGTCTTAACATCCGGTTCAGAGTTCTTACGGACTGGCGTCGAGGTGACGTGTCCTCGGCTCCTCCTCCACTGTCCTCTCCTGGGACTGGCGCTCCTCTGCCCTGTGATTCGGTCCAAGGAATTTGTCCTCTCTCGATTTCTCTCCTGAACATGGACAGGGATTTTACTGGGAGTTCTGGCGGCTCTCTCTAACTCCGCACTTTGCTGCTGCTGTTGCTGTAATTCTTGATTAAGGAGACGCTGTTGCTGCTGTAATTCTTGATTATGGAGACGCTGTTGGTGGTGATGGTGGTGCTGTAATTCTTGACTCTGGACACGCTGCTGGTGGTGCTGCTGCTGTAGTTCTCGACTCTGGACACGCTGCTGCTGTAGTTCTTGACTTTGGACACGCTGTTGCTGTAGTTCCTGACTCTGGGCACGCTGTTGGTGGTGCTGCTGCTGTAGTTCTTGACTCTGGACACGCTGCTGGTGGTGGTGCTGCTGCTGTAATTCTTGACTTTGGACACGCTGTTGCTGTAGTTCCTGACTCTGGACACGCTGTTGGTGGTGCTGCTGCTGCTGTAGTTCTTGACTCTGGACACGCTGTTGGTGGTGCTGCTGTAGTTCTTGACTCAGGACACGCTGCTGGTGCTGTAGTTCTTGACTCTGGACACGCTGTTGTTGATTATAATTATGATGAGAGAGATGTGAAGAGTCGTCCTCACTCCTTGTGTGTCTGGGGCTGCCGTGACCATAGTCGAAGCTGTACACTCGTTGTATGAACCTAGGACTTACCCCCTGCGACCCGAGGCTGTGACGGGGACTACCATTACAGCTGTTCCTCAACACATGTCGGGGACTACCGATGTTGTTGTTGCTACTCAGGTGATGGTGTTTGGGGCTCCCGTTGCCATTACCATCTTGCACTACGTTGTGGCGAGGACTACCGGGATTCCCGTTGCCATAGCCGTTCCTGTTCATGTGTCTGGGGCTACCGTTGTTGTTGTAGCCTGGGAGAGGCATGTGGCTCGGGCTATCCTGTCCATCATTACCATTTCTCACGTGTCTAGGACTACCATTGCCGTTCCTCATGTGCCTGGGACTACCATTACCATATGTGCTATGTCTTGGACTGCCATTGTTGTATGGACTGTGTCTTGGACTGCCATTGTTGTATGGACTGTGTCTTGGACTGGTGTTAACGTATTGGTTGTGTCTGGGACTGCCACTGCCACAATTCACCTGCCATGGGCTACCATTGCCATAACTGACATGTCTGGGACTACCATTAGCGGATATGGCATGTCTGGGACTGCCGTTGACGTTGCTGACATGTCTGGGACTCCCGCCGGCATAACTGACGTGTCTGGGACTTCCATTACCGTTCCTGCCCCCGACGACGTGACCATTACCATTCCCCTGCCTGCCGTTATTGTTGTTGTTATTGTTTTGGGTGAGGCCCTCCCTGCTGACGATGATGTCCGGGACTTGTCTGTTGTCGAGGATCATGTTGAAGGTTGAGGAGGAAGTGTTACAGCGTCCTTCACAACTCGAGTTACTCCTTCAAGGATGGTTGTAATGGTGGTGGTGGTGGTGGTATCCCCTCTTTTTCCTTGAGACGGTGACAACCACAACCAAAACAACACTCCCTCCAATACCAACCAACCCCTCTCTCTCTACCAGCAACAACCGTGGGGGGAGTGTGTACTGTACTGCCTCACACTAGATAGAGGGGGGGGGGTGCTTCAAACTGAACTATCTGTTTCTTTTATCTTGCTGACACCGAACTATCTTGTCAGACATTGAGGGGCTGACGAGGAGGGGAAGACGTCCAGCACACACACTATAAGGCGGTCAATCTAATGAGAGACGAGAGCCTACTACCAGGTCTAGTTATACGAGTTATTATATCACGTTACAGTATCGCCCTTAACAACTAATCCGGTTATCATAGACTTAGTTTACCACTGGTTATAGTTACGTCACTTAAGTCTAAAAGATATATATTTATCTAAATGTGTCACTATGTTTCTGACGACACTATGATGACGTCACTACTGAGAACAAAAGTCGTAAAGCACTTAACGAGGATATGCGTACAAGACACTGATTATTGGAGGAATATAACGTCTAACTTGCACTATTAAATGACAGAATGATGTATCCAGCCGCACTTTATAGCGCCTTCAATACTGGTCTATAACAAATTTGGCACTTGTTTTCCGTAACTGCTTTTGTTTACATTAACGCACACACGCACACCCGGAGACACTTGTTTACGACGCCCACGGATCTTCTATTATAAACAATCAAAAGACATCCTGGGATCATCTTCCTACACGAACACTATGTACACATACACTCGCAGGTTGACAGCATCACCAGTGACCCAGCTGTTTCACGCGATGGTAATACTACGGTCTGGTACTGTACAGGGATAGAGTCCCGCCTGTGATCGTCCACGCTTATACTTCATATACAGATGTTGGGCTGAGTATATCAATGACTGGATCACTTCTCTTATATATAGAACGTTTGTCTTGCTTTTATTGTTCTTCAGCCGTTTTAAAACGTCCGTGCATGGGTTCACTGGTGAGCACACAAGCCCTTTCCCAACGGCGTCCGGCGCACAACTAACGATGGCGCTGTCAGTGAGTGGCGAGGACAGACGGGGTGGCGGGGGTGCGACAACTACCCATAAACATGCACGTTCGCCTGCACGTCATCGTCATCATTTCCCTCGTCAACGTCACACATCGTCATGACTGGTGGACGAGACACCCCATTTGCATACCTGATAAATCCCCCCAAACATCTAGGTAAATTTTCACGTATTAATTATCTTGATCTGAATTACGAGGTAAATTATAATCTGAGGCCGTGAAAGAGGATTACCTCTTGGTGTAATAAGGCCGTGATATATTACTACCAGGTAGCTATAGAGAGCAAGACTGGAGGCACCAACTTCAAATGGATGCCTATGTAACACGATGGAGGAGGCCCGGAGGCGAGCGGAGGCATGGAAGAGGTGTCTGGCATCACAGAGGGAGTGCCAGCGAGAACCACTGCGGCTGCGTCACACAGCCAACAACACCACCATTCTGGATGTTCAGTACGCGATCCAACTCTTCCTCACTCGCCTAAAACTGACACTGATGACGACACAAATCAGTACTTTGTAAACCCGACATTACTAAAAGTACCCCAACAACCATTACTCAGAATTCTCCGCTGCGTAAGGTTGAATGTTCAGTTTTGTCCTGTTTTTTTCAGCGTCGATGGGAGGAGGGGAGGAATGGTGGTGGTGAGAGGGGGTTTATTTGGATAGTAAAAGGGGATGGTAGTGAGGGTAGGGGTGGGATGGTGGTAAGGGGAGGGCGTGAAGTGGTGGTTAGATATTTGGGTACTGTGAGGGGGGTCCTGGGGGGAGGGAGGAGGGTGAGACCACGCTGCTCACTCCAAACAACATTACCTGGACAACAACAAACCTCCAGGTAGCGTTATGGTGGTTTAATCTTCAGGTGATCCATATATACACCAAGAGAGAGAGAGAGAGAGAGAGAGCCCTATAATATACCACAGTGATTAAGTAAGTCTCTATACCCCTCGACGTCTTTCTGGATTATTAAGTGAAGACACAAAGCTGGAAGATTCACGGCTGGGGTGTAAATCTTTCGGGGGGTTTACGGTAGTTGTGTGCTGGGGTAGGGGGTGTGGGAGTGTATCTGGGGGTGAGGGGGAGGGGGTGTATCTGGGGGTGAGGGAGGAGGGAGGGGTATCTGCAGTGGGGGATTAATGAGGTTGCTTCTGATGATGTGTATTGTAGGAGGGAGGGAGGGAGGGGGTGGTTAAGAGGGAAAGAGGTGAATTTGGGGTTTCTGCTGGTGGTGGTGGGTCGGTCTTAGAGGGGGGGGGGAGAAGTAGCAGTAGCTGGGGCGAGGAAGTAGCAGGAGAGAGGAAACATGGGAGAGGAAGTAGCGAGAGAAGGGTGGGCAGTAGCAGGGAAGTAGTTTGAGTAATAAGGATACTCCATATTGTGGTGAGTGACACAGGGAAGTGACCAGCTCGCCTCTCTCACCACACAACGGGCATTTGACTGTCCGCCCGTCCACCATAACCAAACAACCATATACTCCCCATAGCCATACACTCTCCACAGCCATACACTCTCCACAAACTATTCACTCTCACAACCATACACACCCCACAACCATACACTCTCCACAACCATACACACCCCACAACCATACACTCTCCACACAACCATACACCCAACAACCATACTCCCCACAACCATACACACTCCACAACCATACATTCCCCACAACCATATACACTCCCCACAACCATACACTCCCCACAGCCATACACTCCCACAACCATGCACTCCCCACAGCCATGCACTCCCCACAACCATGCACTCCCCACAATCATACACTCCCCACAGTCATACACTCCCCACAGTCATAAACTTCCACAACCATACACTCCCCACAACCATACATTCCCCACAACTATGCACTCCCCACAACCATGCACTCCCCACAACCATGCACCCCCCACAACCATACAAACTCCACAACCATGCACTCCCCACAACCATTCACTACCCACAACCATACACTCCCACAACCATACACACCCCACAAACCACACACTCCCACAACCATACACACCCCACAACCATACACTCCCCACAACCACACACACCCCACAACCATACACACCCCACAACCATACACACCCCACAACCATACACACCCCACAACCACACACACCCCACAACCATACACTCCCGATCGTCTGGTTATCTCAACACCCAACTCACACGGGTCTTGGTATACAGAAGACTCCCTCACGATAAATATCACTCTTCTTAGCTGCTGGCTGGAGGCGAGAGCAACGCTGAAATTGAAACAGTTTATCAAGGCAGAGTAACTGGTATAAAGTGCACAAGTGGTAATAACGTCGACGTGGTTAAGCCCTTTGAGAGATGCGGCGCCCTTAAAAAATAAATAAATAAATAAATAAATAAATATATACATAGCGGTACCAGATTATAAACACGTAGATTAAAAAAAAAACTATTGCATTAAGATTGGGATTAGTTACTCCTATGCTTAGTTGATTTTAAGATTAATAACCCTAACCTAACCTAACCTAACATAATAGCTTAACCAATCACAGCCTAACACACAGATATCCCCTACAGGTAGTGGTGGTGGTGGTGGTGGTGGTGGTGTGGTGGTGGTGGTGGTGTGTGTGTGTGTGTGTTGTGTGTGGCACTATCTTAAGGTCAGTTAGGAATAAAACGCAATTTAATGAGTCCTCCAGGTAAGGCAATCTTGATGTCATAATCGACCTAGTTGACATATTACACGCATGACCTTCTTTATAAAGGGAGGGTAAGGTCAAAGGTGAAATAGATTCAATTAGTGAGAGATAATGACCTTGTTTTTTTTTTAATTTCAGGGCATTAGGTTTTACTTTTCTTGTCTATACATTAAACCTTTTGGTATTTTATTTGTCGATTTATCTGAAACATTGAATGAAAAAAAAATGAAAAATGGATAATACTGTTTGTTTTTACTTTGGATTCATTTATTTAATTTTGCATTTATTTAATCTCTCTTTTCATCTCTGTCTGTCTGTCTGTCTGTCTGTCTTTTACATTAATAAATTGAATAAGACAGTTTTTTCATTACTCCTTCTACTTCTGCTCTTCTGTCATATCAACATATTTTATGAGGATCACAAGGAAGAATATTTCATCAGACGTTGCATCCTCCTCCTCCTCCTCCTCCTCCTTTCTTCTTCCTCCATCATGAATTCAATTACCTTCCCCTCCTCCTCCTCCTCCTCGTCCTCCTCCTCCTCCTTCCTATTTTTGTGGACATATATTCATTTTTTTCTGCAGTGTCACGCTGGGCATCAATCATTATGGGGAGATGGGATGGGGGTGGGGAGATGAGGTCGGGGTGAAGAGATCGGACGGAGGTGAGGAGGGGGCAGGGTGGGAAGAGGGGGCGGAGGTGAGGAGAGGGGGCAGGGGTGGGAAGAGGGGACGGGGGTGGGGAGATGGGGGTGGGTGGGGAGGTGGGGGCGTGGGTGGGGAGGTGAAGCGTGGGTGGGGAGATAAGGTGGGGGCGTGGGGTGGAGAAGAAGGTTAAAAGGGTCTTGGAGAGGTAAAGAGGGTGAGGAGAGAAGCAAGGAGGATGAAGAGAGAGGCAAGGAGGATGAAGAGAGAGGCAAGGAGGATGAAGGAAGGATCAGAGAGATTCAGAGTCTGGGAAGAGGCAGGGAGGATAAGTGTTTTGGGGGAGACAGGTAGAATCAGGAGGAGAGGGGAGAGGAAAGGAGGAGAGGGGAGGGAGGAAAGGGAGGGGGAGGAAAGGGGAAAGGGGGAAGGGAAGAAGCGTAAGACATGTGGGTGGAGGACAACCGTGAAATCCTTTAAAGGCTCACATGTTTGTCTCCTTGACAAATTTACTGCAGGGCGAGGCTCCTCAGACTACAAGGATCACCCTCCCCCTTCCTCTCCCTCCCCCAGACGATAGATAGGGGGAAAGGGGGGAAGGGAGAGAGGGAAGGAGAGGGAAGGAGATGGAAGTAAGAGATGGGGTAGGGAGAGGGAAGAAAGAGGGAAAGAAGGAAGGAATGGAAAGAGGGAAGGAGGGAGGGAAGGAGGGAGGGGGCAGGAGTACACTTCCACATCACGGGTTGCTGTATCATGATAAACACCCACCCACCCACCCACACCCACACCCACACCCACCCCCACCCCACCCCACCCATCCACACCCACACAGTCTACTCAATTTACCATCTCCACGCCAACTTTTAGTCGACGGCCTTGCTAACTTACGCGGATCTACCAACTTGTGATGATGAACTCGTGAATTTAAAAGTTCTCGCCAAGTCAGGGAACAGTTTTTTCCCCGCCAAGATATTTTCCTAAGACAAGATACAAGATATTTTCCCCCCGCCAAGATATTTTCCAAGATATTTCCCCCCGCCAAGATATTTTCCCCTGCCAAGATACAGCGCTTTAAAACATCAGTCTAACTAAATTATAAACTCCAGGGGTACGACATTTTCACCCCCAAGATATATTTTTTTAAGATATTTGACTAAAATACAAAGGATCTTCTTTTTACCTAGGTTTAAATGCCAATAGTTGATGTTTTTTTATTTTTCTTAAGTGAGTGATGACAGACAGACAGACAGACAGACAGACAGACAGACAGACAGACAGATAAACTAAACCACAATCAAAGACAGACATACACAGACAAATTAAACCAATGACTTACAGACACCAACTAAACCAGAGATTCACAGACTGACGACATATACAGTAATTGGAAAAGCTTATTAGGTGAGTGAGTGTCCCCAGGTAAGCACAGGTAAAGGTTACACTGTTTCCCCGAGTCATGGAGGTAAGGTCAGGCGGCCATTTAGGTTCTTGTTTTTTAAATGACTTTGTTGGCGGTGTGTTTATTGTCACACTGACACACACACACACACACACACACACACACACACAAGTCTACGGTCATCACCACCCAAAGTTAACATCCATAATAATTGACGTACCTGGTCTTGAACCTACCAGGTGTTCATGTTACCTGGAGTCTACTTTATTGGATC